TTCATATTTTAAATATATATATTTTTAAATATATTTTATTGATTTCTTACAGAGAGGAAGGGAGAGGGATAGAGAGTTAGAAACATCGATGAGAGAGAAACACCGATTGGCTGCCTCCTGCACACCTCCTACTGAAGATCGAGCCCGCAACCCCTGCATGTGCCCTTGACCAGAATCAAACCTGGGACCCTTCAGTCCGCAGGCCAATGCTCTATCCATTGAGCCAAACCTGATAGGGTATTGATTATATTTCTTATACTGTACTTTACATCCCCATGACTATTTTGTAACTATCAATCTGTACTTCTCAATCTCTTCATCTTTAATACCCAGTCCCCCAATCCCCACCCCTCTGGCAACTATAGTCTGTTCTCTGTATCTATGAGTTTGTTTCTGTTTTGTTTGTTTATACTGTTCTTTAGGTTCCACATATAAGTGAAATCATGTGGTATTTGTCTTTCTCTGACAGGCTTATTTCACTGGGCATACCCTCTAGGTCCATCCATGCTGTCACAAATTGTAAGATTTCCTTCCTTTTTATGGCCAAGTAATACTCCATTGTATATGTGTGCCACCACTTTTTTATTCACTCATCTATTGATGAACATTTAGGTTGCTTCAATAGCTTGGCTATTGTAAATAACACTGCAATGAATATAAGATGCATATATTGTTTTGAATTGGTGGTTTTTATTTCTTCAGATACATACCCTGGGTCATAAGACAGTTCCATTTTTAATTTTTTAAAGACACTCCATACTATTTTCCACAGTGGCTGCACCAATCTGCACTCCCACCAACAGTACATGAGGGTTCCCTTTTCTCCACATCCTTGCCAACACTTGTTTGTTGTTTTATTGATAATAGCCATTCTGACAGGTTTGAGATAATATTTCATTGTGGTTTTAATTTGCATTTCTCTGCTGATTAGTGACATTGAGTATATTTTCATATGTCTATGAGCCATCTGTATGTCCTCTTTAGAGAGGTGTCTATTAAGGTCATTTGCCCATTTTTTAGTTGGATTGTTTTTTGTGTTGAGTTGTATGAGTTCCTTATAAATTTTGGATATTAACCCCTTACCAGATGTATTATCAGAGAATATACAT